TTGCTGGGGCAGAACATCACAGGAATTCACAGGGGTGGGTGGGGGTGAAGAATGCAGCCTCCGTAGGTGACAATGAAGCATCTGGGCCTGCTTTACTAGTCCCTGGTGAATTTGTGATGTCCTGCCCCAGCTCCAGATCTCTGGGTACACTCCACAGCACACCCCAACTCCACTGAATGAGCTTTCTAAAATGTTACTGACCAGGAATTTCACAACCTCCAGGTCAAGAACTTCTCAGTAGGTGAGAAAGACTACATGGGCCTGCTTTACCAGCCCTGTCCTGGCCCACCCTTCACCCACTGGGACTGTCTGAATGCAGCCCGCTCGCCTTGAGGTCTTTCGTGTGTTATTCTCTGGCTCTGGGTCCAGATATCCTTTCTCCCTTGCACCCCCGCCCCCTCACCAGCCGTGGGTGGGAAGTACCCACTCCCCATCGCCCTCATCAACTCTGACAATCACTGTCTTTACCCTTTTCGGGTATTGTCAAGGCTCAAGAGGGCAACGACATTAACATTGGCCCCTCATAGGACAGATGACAAGAACAAAGCCCAGAGAAGGAGATGGCGTGGCTCAGGGCAGTGTGGTAGATAGAGCTCGAAATAACTAGCTGTCAGGTCTCTTGACTTCTAAACCAGAATTCTTTAGCAAATGGGCTCTGCATGCTTCCCCCTGACCTTCTCTCAGGCGTGGATTCAGCAAGGGTGCATTTATTGCACCCTTACATGTGCCAGGGACTGTGCTGGCCGCTGGCACGCTCTGCAAAGCCAGACCTCGTCCGTCCTCCAGGAAATCAGTATTTGGATAATGCGGGGACTGAGGGAGGCTTTCTTGAGGAGTGGATGCTTGAGGCTGGCTTGAAGTATGCTTAGAAGTTGACGTAGTGGACACAGGAAGAAAGGACACAAGAAAGGAAAGTTTTTGATTTGAAGGTTCCCAGGATACTTGAGGTTGTGAAATGCCTGGTCAGTTGCATTTTAGAAAGTCCTTTCAGACAGTGGAGTTGGGGGTGTGCTGTGGGGTGTAGCCAGAGCCCTCGGGAAGAGGGGAGTGTGAAGAATGTTGCCTGCTTAGATGACAAGGAAGCAATGTATGTTTGAAACACTGAAGCCTTTCCACAGAAAAATATCCAAGTACCCTTTGCTCTCCACCCACATGGGAGCAGGAGAATTCTCAAAACACAACCCCCAAATCGCCTGCCTTTGTCTCAGGGCTGGGCCTGTGGGCCTGCATTTGTGTGCAGTGCTTGAGTTGCTCTGTGGCTTTACGATCTCTCCAGCTAATTAATAATGATCCAACGGGAATCGCTGTAAAGACAGTGGTTCTGACCTCTGCTTGCCGGCCCTATTTGTCCAGCCCAAGAGTACTTGAAGTTCAGGAGTCTTGTCAGAATACAGAGTAACCAGTAGAACGTATCTGCTGGAGGAAATCTTCCCAAGGCTTGTCCCATAAAAGCACCCTCGAGCTCCTCATCACGGGGGTGGCCTCTGGAGGGCCCTGCTGGCGATGCTACCTCTCTGCAGCCATTTCAGGGTTCTCACCATCACACCTCCGTGCACACTGCTTTCCCTTCTTCCCACTTACCCTTCCCAGGCATCCCCACCCCCAGGGTGAAGCCCAACTGCCGGTGGGATAACGGGCCCTCCACCACTGCTTGCAAAATAGCATGTTCTTTCTTCATGCTGTTTAGGAAACAATTCAGTTGGGATTACAGCCAGATTTCCTGTGTGTGAGGTTGGAGGAGGCGATGGGAACTGGGGAGGGGGACAGAGGCAATGATGACTCAGACACAGTAATTGCACCCAGCTCAAAGACCTTGCTTTCTCTCCTTTAAAATTAATTTTGCATTATACATATTAATACTTGGATATAGTTTGAATCAAATTAAATAGCACAGACCAAGTTAGGGCCCCGTCCCCAGTTTTGAGTCCCTTCCTCTACTCCTCAGATATAAGCACTATTGTCATGTTTCTGTGTTGTCCTTGCAAACCTGTCCTGGGCACTCATTTTACTTTACATGCACCATCTGTACCTCTGGGCTGGTGAGAAAGGGTCTTCTTCCTCTCGTTTGCCATCAGTGGTATCACTTTATACATTTTGTTCTGCAATGCTTTGCCCACCCAGCCATACATATTGCAGATCCCTTAGAAGACATGCTGCCTTTACAGCGCTGTCAAGTACTCCTGAGTTAGCCTTCCTTTGGACCACCTTCTTCTATTCATGAAAGGTGATGATTCCCTTTTTTTCTTTTCCACAATAAAAGTAATGCAGCAAGAGGCCTTCCGTATACACCTAAGCATTCTGTACACACCTAGGATTGAAAAGTGGGTCACAAAGGTGGCGTGTATGTTAAAGTTCTAAGAGATATTACCAGGCTGTCCTCTTTTAATTTGTATTACCTGCAAATTTGCTGCACTTGGTTCTGTTCATTTTCTTGTTGGATTGTCACTCTTTCTATTGACCTGCAAAGTTGTATTGCCTGTAGATGAACACCAGTCCATCAACTGTTAGATATGTTTCTAATATTCTTTCCCAGGCTCGTTTCATTTATGTTCTGTATAGTCTTTTAAATTTGAGATAAACTGATCAGTCTTTTCATCTATAGACTTTTCTTTTGTATCTAAGATGAAATTCCTTTTTTTGAGATCATAAAATTACTACATATTCTTCTAGTGCCATAATTTGGTACTAAACCAACTGAAATTTGTATGTGTGATTAATATAAGACAGGGAACTACTTTTATGTTCTTCCAAATGGATAACCAGTTGTCCCATTGTTTAATTGAATAATCCGTCATTTTATTGACAGATTAGAGATACTACTTTTGTCATTTACCTTAAAAGCCTGTGTATTTCAAGATTTTTCTATTCTACTGATCTACTGTTTATAGATGCCTATATTTCTATCAATACCTCCTTGTTGAAATTACCATAATTCTAACATGTTTTGATTTCTGGTTAGATAAACTCCTTCTTCATTCTTCTTTTTCAAAAGATTCTTCAATATTCTAACATATTTACCCTTCTTATGAATTTCTTATAGTTCCAAGAGAAATTCTAGACATTTTTATTGATAACGTATTCAATGTACACATGAATTTAGTGACATCTTTATAATGTTATGTCTTCCCATCCATGTACATCTTCATTCAACATATATCTACGGAAAACCAAAAGACCAGCACTGCTCTGGGCACTGGGACCTGGCGATTAGCAAGTTACTTGTGCTCATGGAGTTTTCATTCTTGAACACTACAGTAGATCACCTTATTTATTTAAGTTTGCTTTTCTATCCCTCTTGAAACGTTACTGTTTTATCTTCTTGTTAGGTTTGTCCCTAAGTATTTCACTTTGAAAGATGTATATATATATTTAATTATTAGTTTTCTCCCAGAACATGTAAAATTGTGCAAGTATTTTCTTTGCCTTAAAAACATTCAAGATAAAGAACATAAGGATACGTCCCAGGAAGACACAATCTTACCTCTTTCCAGCAGAGAAGGCAGAGCCTTCTGGTTTACTGTGCCTTCCCGTTGACCTCCCTAACTCACCTTCCCTTTCTCTTTCTGCAACCTCTCTTGTCTTTGCTATTTAAGGTGGCTTGTTCAGATGGGTCTCCCCCATCTGTACAGGAGCTAAACTTGTTACTATTATGTTATTATTAAGATGTGCTTGTTTTTTTTTTTTTTCATATCAATTTATCTGACACTTGTTTAGTGCCAATCTAGAGTAGCCCAGAGTACAGGACAGCTTCCTTCGCATCCAGCAGCTCCTAGGTCTCCTCGGTGTCCATTAATTTTGTGCCAACCACTCTAGGATATAACTTCCAGATTCTACAGCTAAGAGTTCAAAGCCCAGAATGACATCCCCCTCCAAGAATTCTTTGCCCCAAGTAAAGCCCAGCATAGATTTTGTGAAAATAGACTTTATTATAATAAAATGTCTTTTAAACAAATGTTTCCACCATTCCACACCCCCAGAGACCAAGATGGGGGTTGGAGTTCAGTCAAACAATCTCCCGGCACTGGGAAGGTAACATGCAGAGACACTCACCCAGTTGAGGAGTCTGGGGTGGTTATGGTAAGCGTGAGAGCCCCCCACCCCACTCTGAACAGGGAATGTATGAAAATAGCTACATAAATCTGTCATTCTCCCTGGCCCCTGAACTCCAACAGGGGCCAGAAGAAAGTGATGCAAAAGAGAAGCTGAATCCGATGAGCAAAATAAGGCAAACCCAACTCCTGCTTCCTGCCTGCTGGCCCCCCGGGTCTTCGGGGGTGGGGACACACAGGGGCCAGGAGGCTAAGAAGGCTGGAGGGGGTGGAGCACTATGGGGCGGGGGCTACCCGCTTTGGCATGGCCTTCCTCCTTCTCGGGCCTGTGCAGTGGAAGCGAGATGGAGGAAGCTGGACTGAGGCACTGAGTATGTACATATATACATTACTGCGCCCCGCCTGCCCGTGGGGAGGGGGACACAGGAGAATCCAGTGCAAACTTTCCTTCAGGGGAGGGAAGACGTGATCAGGATAGCAGATGCCACGAAGGAAGCCCCTTTATCCTCCCAGGACCCCCAACCTGGGAGTGGGGCAGGCCAAAGAATGGACTAGTACGGTGTGGGGAGCTAGATGTAGGTAAGAGGACTAGAGGCCAGCACAGCCCCGGCTCGGTGACCAGGTGCTCAGCGACCATGGCGGAGGGGCTGCCCTTCTCTAGGCTTCCGCTTGTTCTCCTGGGGAGGAAGGTGCCTGTCCAGAGGATTCATCTTATGGCCTCGTCTAAAGCTGACCCCACTGAGTCTCTGAGCCCCATCCCAGTGCCACAGTGTTAACTCAGAGAGTCCAGGGCCTTCTCGCCAGGAGCAGAGGGACAGGCCTCAGGGACCACTTCTGCCTGCGAGATGAGCCAGCGCGTCACTCCTTCTTCCCAGAGCTCAGCTTTCTGAGGAGCAGCTTCCCCTTGGAGAGGAGACCCCGCACCTTCTCTCTTGTGCCCTGTGGTCCCCCCAGGTCAACCCTGGGGAAGCTGCCAGGGCCAGAGGCACAGGGCCAGCCTGGAGGCTCCAGGGGCGCTTGTGTTGTGCCAGCCCAGTCCTGGAACATGAGAGAAGAAGGCAGGCTCAGGGCCTCACTCCCTGTCCCACCGGATTCCTTTACTCTGCAACCCCAGGGGCCTTTAGTCTCCCCACATCACACAACCCCTGTGGAAAAGCAGAGTCCCACCACCCTGCACACACAGCACAGAGGCCACCGGGGATGAAGATGCTGAGAGAACGCTGAGCTAGGACTCACAGTTCTGCTTCTTTTCACCCGGGCAACCCCTCTCCTGCTCCAGGCCTCTGCAGATGCCAGGCTGACAGAACGAACTTCGATGGCGCCCCCAGCCCCCCCCATGTCACAGGCACCCAGCATAGGGAGAGCAAGGCCCTACTCCCCTCAGAGCCTGTCTAGCCCAGTGGATGCGCTGCCAGGGCCCTCAGGGATGGAGCCAGCTTCAACGCCTGGGGAGGAGATCAGGGCTCTTCCCTGAAGGACCCCTGAGAGAGCTGCAGGGAGCTGGGGGCCAGGAGCCTGACAGTCAGGCACCACTCAGGCCCAATCACTAGCTTTTGGAGGCTGCCTGCCCTCCTTTGGTATTTTCTCCCTTCCTGGATCTTCACTTAGACACACTTGGCACCCTGAGCCACTCCTGCCACAGGCCCACCCAGTCAGCGCTGCCAGTGGCCTAAGGACAGGAGGCTGAATAGGCAGGATCACCGCCAGGAAACCTCCCCCATGCCACTGTCACCTCCTGTGTGCCAGAACCTAGCCAGTTTTTGCCAGCCTGTAAGTTCCTTCCCCCCACCCCTGCCTTCCACAAACCCCTGTGACCCCCAGCGCTTGATGGTCTCCTGGCCAGACACAGATACCAAGCCCGGACCAGAGGCAGGGGTGCCCCACCTATAGCGGGTGCCCCACCTATAGCGCCACCCTGATGCGCTGAAGACCTAAAGGCAGACAGCCAGCTGGGGAGCCCCAGGCCATCCCCCCTCTCCAAAGACTGCTATAAAATCTCAGGAGGGACTGCTGGGAAAATACATGGAGGGGGTGTCTCGGAGTCCCTGAAACAAATGGCTGGGGCTTATCTAAGGACCTCAGCTGTTTCATTCCCCACTTTATCGTCCACCCCCCAGCCCAGCAAAGAAGACTGAGCATCGGAGGTAACATCAAGCATCTGAGCCCCTAAGGCGTCATGATGCCAAGGTCAAGGGTAGGGAGGCTGTCAGTACAGGCGGCACACAGTGTCCTCTTTCTGTCACCAATAGTAGTCATCATACCATCATCACATAGAATCATAATACACTGATGCACCATGAGATGGGTGTCAAATATGTTCTATAAGCCGCATGTGCTGAAGAATACGAGGCGCCAGCTAACAGGACGTGACCTGTGTCCTTGCGGCGGCTGGCACTGGCCGAAGGCAAGGGGGGAGGTGACCTTAGCCCGGAATCTAACAAGTTTCCCTCCCCCATTCTCTGAAAGAAAGTGGAAAAACCAGGTGAGCTCAGGTATTAGCAACAGAGGTGTGCTGCCCGTGGTCATGTGAGGAGGGGTCACGTGACGGAGGAGCCAGTCCCCACTTACATGTTGCTCTCTCTACATATATCTATCTCCATCTAGCACTGGACTCTTCTCCTCCTCGTTCTCTGAAGAACAGGGAACAAAGAGAGGAGAGGGTTATGGACAGACCCGCATGCTCTCACCGGTCACCAGGTCACACGGTTCACAGGGGCTGGCCCTGCTTTGCCTTCGGAACTACCGCAGACGAAAGCCCACGGTCTTCCAGCTTTTCTGGCCTCTTCGCCCTCTCCCTACCCAGTGAGGCTGGAGCTTAATTTTACTCCACCCCCAAGGAGAGCCCACAGAGCTGGGCCTTGCTGGGCCACTGTCTTTAAAAGGCGTCCAGGAGATGGGGAGACCCGCAGAGAGGGACAACCGCTGGCAGGAGCTGGCCCTGCCTGGCTCCCTCCAGCGGTAACTGGGACTCTGCCCTGGGCACAGTGCCACCGGGAACATGGAACATCGTTGGCTGCTCCCGCCCCCACACTTGCTGGCCCCAGCGACTGCCCAGCCGGGGGCCCAGCCCCTCACTGACCTGACGCTCGGTCTGTGGTCTCCCAGGCTCCCTGTCTGAGCCACTTGTCTCAGGCCCAGGGCCCTCCAGGAAGTTGGATGGAACCAGGCCCCTCTGTCCATTCAGTTCCCCCTGGGGAGGAAAAGCTGGTGAGACTGAACCCAAGAAAAAAGTTTCATCCTGACCTGGCTCCTGAAGCCTCTGAGAGAACTGCCCAGGCTGACATCAGAGTTGTGGCCGTGACTGGCCCATCCTCCAGGCTTCTGCTCACCCCCTCCTCTCCCTGAAAGGCCCGGTACACTCCCCACCCAAGTGTCCTCACATAGTAGAAACCATCATCATCCATGCCCCCGAACACAGTGATGACATCGCCTGCGCGGAAGGGCAGCTCGGCCTATGGAGAGACCGAGACGCAGACGTCAGGCCCAGGCCGGCCCTCCTCCACCCCCGTCACTGGGCTCTTCCCTGAGGGCCCTCACCTCCACGTCCATGTTGGGGGAGCTCTCCCGGGGGTTGTAGTCAAAGGCAGCCACCATGGAACGGGGAGATTTCAAGCTTGCAGCAGAAACCGGCTGAGGTGTGCCTGTAGGGATGAGGGGAAGAAGACTCAGGACTCTCTCTGGACACCCCGCCCCACCCTGGGAGACTGCTGGGCTCTTAACCACCTCCCCACTGGATGCAGCTTTGGGGGAAGGCCAGAGAGGCTGCCCTGGCCGGCCTCCTGCCCAGGTCAGCCCTCACCTGCACAGTGCTGGCTGCCTTCCGCCTCGGCTGCGGAGAGAAGGAGTGTGTGAGCTAGTCCTTTTCCCTCTGTACCCCGGGCAGGCTGCGCAGGGCAGGCAGGTTGCTCGCCCTCACACAGGGACATAGGAGCAGAGGGTGCAAGAGCCTATCAACCCAGGTCTTCTGGTTTTGTTAGTGAGTTAAGGCCGCAGGACTTGTTTCCAGAATTTACAGTTGGGAACAGAAGTTCTGGCCGACCACTTGCCAGCCCAAAGAACAAATTTCCCATGGTGGAGATGATGTGGGTGAAGGTCTGCTCTGACTCACTTCACCTGTTCAAACCCCTGCATCTCCCCAGAGTGCCATCGCCACCCCACCCATCCCCACAGGCCCCCGAGGGAGCATGGGATCACACCCACCTTTCTTGGAGCGGCGGGGCTTGGGGGGAGGCCCAGATGTTCGGGCTGTGGAATACACGGAGGAACTAGTCCCTGATCCAGGAAGGCAAACAGATGCAAGAGAGAAACTGAGGCAGGGGGAGGGATAGGCCAGTAACTCTGGAGTCTCAGGGTGGCACCAGGATTCTGGCACTCACCTCTCTAAAGAGCATTCCTCCCCCATCCCTGACCTGCAGGACCCAGAACACAAGGCCCATTCCCTCGGCAGCAGAGACCGCTCTGACCACTCAGTACAGAAGCTGAGCCACACCGGCCTTCATCGGTGAGGCCCAGCAACTGTGCTGCGGAAGTGGTAAGTGAAGTGCCCAGGCCACACATCAGTCAGGAGCAGGCCGAGTGGGAGCTGCAGAGCCAGAGGCGGGTGAGGAATGGCAGCTGTTCATACCTGAGCCCTCAGCGAAAACATCTGGAGACAAATAGCCGAGCTGGGTCAGCTGCTGCTTTCTCGCAGGACTGTCCACGGCCACCTCGGTGACCATGTTGCAGGGAATGTAGCCTATCCGGCCCCCACCTTCTCCCCGGTAGAAGCCATCAGCATCCTTGTCCCCAAACACCTGGAGGCAAAGATCAGTCTCAGAGGGCCAGTTCAGCTGGGCACCGGGCACCGGGCTCAGGCATGTGGACGGCACAGGAAATAGAAGAGGAAAGAGCAGGAGTGCACCAAGAAGGAGAGTCAGAATCAGAGGATGCGAGGGAGAGCCCTTTCCATAGTGTCAGCTCCCCTGCCTCAGCCCACCCCGACCAGGCCACCTGAATCTCAGAGCAACAGTGAAAAGTCTTCATTGAGCACTGGAAGTGGTGAGGCCAGCAGCACAGCTGTTAAACCTTGCCCACTGTGCAGGGAGGTGCGAGCCTCTGCCCATGGAATCATTTAACCCTCACACCACCATGTCCCCATTTTACCAATGAGGGAACGGAGGCCCAGAGGAACTAGTGCATCTACTCAAGGTTACACAGCCGAGTCAGGATCCAGCCCCAGGCCCTCTGGCCTCACCCAGGCCTGACTGACACCTCCAGTAGTGGAAAGCAGGGGTGAGGGAGGCCCAGAGGGCCAGGCAGCCACCTTCAGGATCTGGCCTTCCCGGAAGGGGAGCTCCTCCTCCCCGGCATCAGGGTTGGGTGACATGGATGCAGGGTCATAGTCAAACAGGGCCACAAAGAGCCTGACAGGCAGGTCCTGGGAAGCCAGCACTTCTGGAGGGCTCCTCAGAGGAACTGCAGAGTTAAGGAAAAAGCAGTGGCAATCAGCTCTGGCCAAGGGGCTAGAAAGGTGCCCTCGGCCTAGCCCAGCCTCCACAGGCGCTCACCAAGCTGAGTGGTGCTGGGTTTGGGTGCTCGGCCCCCTTTCCTCAGAGAGCCCCTCCGCCCAGAGCTCTCCTGCCCTCTGGGCTCCCCAGCCTCTGTTGCCTGCAAAGAGAGGGCAACAGACAGAGGGCAGCGGTGACACACCACTCCTCTGGCAGGTGCCTAGGCAGGGACACGACCCCAGCGCTCCCCCAACTCTGCCCCCGTTGTTAGCGTAAGCAGCACAGCAGAGCAGGGACACAACATTCTTCTCCTGGAGCCCTGACCCAACCTCTGCTGGAGGTGTCAGACCCCCCCCCAGGGGACATGGGGGGAAGGAGGGAGGCCCCAACTCCAGACCCCTAGCAGGTGAGTGCAGTGGGGGGCGGGGTGGGGGCAAGGCTAGAGCTCAGAGCTGGCCGAGGAGCGAGGAGCATGTGAGAGCAGGGCTCTTCTCGGGCAGGTGTGCAGGTGTCAGGTGCAGGAGAGGCTGCACAGCATTCATGTCCTGCAGGTGTGACTGGCTAGCGGAGGGGAGGGCCACCCGCCTGGAAGGCAACTGGCCACTACAATAACAGAATATTGTGCACCCCAGTTCCGACTGGCAGAAGCAGCAAAGCAGTGGAATGCGGGTGGGAGGACACAGGTGAGGCCCAGCCCCGCCTCTACTGATGGAGGCGGCAGCAGCGTGGAATGGGAGGGGCTGGCGGGCAGGAAGCAGAGCCACCAGGCGAGGCAGAGCAGGCAGGGGCTGCCCAGGGTGGGGTGGGCACGGACCCGGGAGGCTGGCTCCTTGGCTCTGCCCATCGCACTTCGGGCTCTCTGTTCTGGCTCCCCTTTGTCCCAGGCCGGGAGGCATGGGTAGGGGTCAGGGCCTGAACTGGCCTTCACAGGCCCCCTGGGCCTTCCTAGGGGGGCTGTGCCCCAGGCCTCCCCATCTCCGGGATAGCAGGAGCCGCTGACGCTGATGCCCCCGCCGCCTGCCTCCTGCTCGTCCTCAGAATCATATTCAATGCTGATTTCCAAACACTTGGGGGAAAGGCAGCTGGCCAGACCAGGTTCTGGGGCGCGGCCGCCACGGGGGCATCTCCGGGAAGGGGGTGGACGCCCTCTCCCACTAGCCTCTGGTCCACCCCTGGCGCCCTCGCCCACAGGAGAGCCACCCCTCTCCCATGTGGGGCCCGGTCGTCCAGAGGCTTGGGGCCCTCCATTGCTGAGAAGCCGGCTGCAGTGTTCACGGGGGTCTGGGGACCGCCTGCGGTTTGGGGGCTTCTCAGGGGAGCCACTTCCTCGCCACCGGCTGCTTCCACCAACTAGTCCGGGCGCGTCCTCCAGGCAGTCCCCCAGCCCGCAGGGCTCAGGAGACAAGGGGCACGGGCCAGGTCCTGGAGGCCGACTGCTGTCACAGCCCAGCCCCAGCGACGCAGACTCAGGCTGGCCAGGGTCTCTGGAAGAACAGCCTGCCCCTGGCTCCTCATCCGCTTCCTCGTCCTCCTCCTCCTCGGGGATGCTAAAGAGCTTCTTGCTGCAGAACTGCTGGAGGGGCAGCTCCAGGATCTGCTCCAAGATCTCCTCGTCGCTGTCAGTCTCACAGGAGGAGTCAGTCTGGGGCTGGGTGGGGAGCAGCAGGAAAGAGAGGTCCATGGGAAGAGGAGAGAGCTGTGGTCTTTGCCCTCAAATGCAGGCAGGGGTTGCAAGCCCTCCCTCAACTTCCTCCAAGAGGAAGACCAGAGAGAAAGGGCCAACCCAAAGCCACACGGCATGTCCAGGCTAGAGCTAGAGGAAGAATTAGGGAACAGGCTGCACACACGTTTGGGCCCCGGGGAGCATGGGGGAGACAGGCCATGCTGTAGTGGCAGAGATCTCCCTGCCCCCTCCCGGAAGCCCCTACAGGCTGCGCGCTGCCTCTGGGGGCCGGGGTGGAAGGCAGTGCAAGGAGAGCTCCTCTTCCTCCCTCAGGCCAGCCTGAACCACTTCCTATCTGCTGCTTAGGACAGGGCCCAGGCCACACCTAGAACGTTGCTGGCACTCGGTGGCGGCCGGAGCAGCTGCTGACACATGGGTGGAGGCCCCTGGAACCCGAGGTCTGGGGCCCGCCAGCCCCTCCGCACCCCGGTACCTTGGCCCCATCCTCCCTGATGCTGTTGCCAGCAACCTGCTTCTGGAAAGAGCAAGTCCTAGAGTCCAGCTCCTCCTCCCCCTCCTTCTCCTCCTCTTCCTCCTCTTCCTCCTGGATGTCTGACAGATCTGAGTTGCGACCATGATCCACAAGGGAGTCTGACAGACGGCCCCCGAGCTCTGCTGTGTCCTCCCTCTGCAAGAGGAAGGACAGGAGAGGGCGAGGCCTGTCGCAGGGTCAGCCGCAGGCAGAATAAAAGAGGCCCCTCGGCAGAGGGGGAGAGGATCATGCCCCAAAGGGTATGCACAAAATGGGGTGGCGGGGGGTGGGCAGGAGGTAAGGGAGAAGAAGGCTGGGAGACAAAGTGGAATCTGAAAAGATAAAGGGACAAACAGCCCGAGCAGAGCAAAGAACAGCAAAAGGGCACCCAGACTTGGACTGGCAGGAGGCAGGCTCAGATCCTTTGAGGTGGCACATTATGTCCCCAGTCCTGTACCTCTGGCCTCGGCCCAGACCCCGTCTCTCCTCCATGGCAGGCCTCAGCGCAGAGCACCCTCGGGGCCTCGCCTTCTGTCCACTCGGCCTCCTCCTTGGCCAGTGAGGCGGTGGCAGGGCCTGGAACCCTGTCGCCCAGCATGGACTCACTGGCCCCTCTGTCCTCTGAGACGCCCAGCACGGCTGGCCGGCCCTCCCCCTGGAATGGCAGGCAGTGAGCAAAGGCCCTTCTCCCGGCATCTGCGCCTCCCCCCTCCCCAGCCAGGGTACCTGGGAGCAGGGCGCTGGAGGCTCCTCTTGGGATCCTGTCGAGCTCTCTCTGGGAAGGCTTGCTGGGGGGCCCCCTGGGGGCCCTGGAGTTCCTTGGGAGACAGGGCACCCGAGGAAAGAGCTGGGGTCTCCAGACGCTGAGGAGTCTGGAAGAAGGGGTGCTCGGGCCTCCAGACCTGGTCGTGGTGATGGACAGGAGACCCTGGCTGGCAGGCAGGCTGTAGCCAGGGCCGGGGCAACCGGAGCCGGAATAGAATCCGCCGACTCGCCATGGGGCGACATGGTGCGCACAGCCACCTCGCTGCACACCTGCAGCAGCTGCAGCTGGGACACCTCCACCAGCACGCTGCCTGCCGTGGGTGACGCCACCTCCATGATCTGCAGAGTGGGGGAGGCAGGATGGGAGAGGGAGGCTGAGATGGCTAGAGGGTGGCACACAGTGCCCACAATGCCTCACTCATGCCAAGCACTGCCAGGCCCTTCGTATGTCTGTCTTGTTCCAGCCTCCTGGCACATCACTGAGGAGCTGCAGTGGTTTTGAATCCCAGGCACCTACTACAAAGCCCCTGCTCCTACCCAACCTGCTACACAGTGCAGATGCCAGGGCCTGGGCATCCCTGTGCCAGCTTGGGGAAACCAGGCCTCTAAGCAAGGCAAGGAGGGACCTACAGCCTCTCCCTGGGCACAGGGAGCCAGAGTTCCAGGCCATACCTTCTGCCCATCGGCATAGATGGCATAGCCTGTGACCCGGACACCATTGGAGGTGCCAGCCGCATCGATGGTTACTGGGAGCCAGCTGATGATCAAGATGCCAGGGGAAGGCCCCGGCTCAATCTGCACATCCAGGGGGGCGTCAGGCGGGCCTGGGAGGAGGGAGACAGAGACCCAGTAGAGCAGAGCACGCCCCACCAAAGACAGCAGTCCAAGTTACCGTCTCCCTGAAAGCGCAAATCCCAACAGCCTCCTGGTGTTGCAGTCAATGCCCAAACCTGCATACCTGCTGGGAGTGTGGTGAACTGCAGGGTGGCAGCCCGCTGCTCTGGCCTCTCCCAGCCTGGTTCCCAGGATCCTCGAGGTGGGAGCTGAGCCTCCACTCGGGCCTGATAGAGTGTACCAGGCCGCAGGTGGCAGAACGTGGCCCAGTAAGTGCTGGGGCGGGCAGGGGGGCACTCTTCCCCGTTGAGGTAGATGGCATGGGTCAAGTTGCTGTTGCCGGGCACCCAGGTGATCTCAGCAGATGTGGCTGTCAGCCGGTGGACCCGCAGCTGGCTAGGGAGCAGTCCAGCCCGGGCACCCACTGCCAGGCAACAGCGCAGAGGGTCAGAGCTGCCCCGGCTGGTCAGGGCCTGCACAGAAACATGGAGGTGCCCAGCCCGCAGGTCCAGGTTCTCCAGCACAGCCTTGGGGGGCGCCCCGGGCCCCAGAGCCTGATGCAGTTCCCCATTCACGCAGACATGGTAACCTTGTAAATCTGCTCGCTCAGGAGGCGGTTCCCAGGCCAGCACCACGCTGTGGGCCAGCTGCTTGAGGACTGCCAGTCGGCGGGGGTAAGGCACCGCAAGGGGCTCGCACAGGCCCGCGGGTGCAGGGCTCAGGCTGAGCTCGTCCCCTGCAGCCTCATCCTCCGGCCTGGGCTGGCTGCGGCCCCCGCTGCTCGGGGCCCCGCCACTACTGCCACCCCCACCTCCACTCAGGAAACTGAGTTCGGGGCCTGAGCTGTGGGATAAATCGGCCAGCTCCGGAGGGAGGGAGGTCAGGAGGTCGTCGTCAGACACGCGCTCTACAAAATTGGAAGGGACCAGGCCCCTTCGGCCATCCATGAGCTCCCCTGGCAGAGGGAGAGCAGGGAAGGGAAAGACAGAGAGGGGCAGAGAAAAACAGGTCCGATAAAAGCATTTTAGCAATGGTTAGCGGACGATCTTACGCATTGATTCAAGTCAACATTTAACTGTCAGTGCTTTAGAAAGACAGGAGTGGCGAAAATCTGGTTGAGGGGGCCGTCTCTTCCGGTAGGACAGCGCTTCTTAAATTTTCATGTGTATATGTTGAAACCCAGACTAATTCACTTTGGGGGTGCAACTGAGGGTCTACATTTCTCACAAGGTCGAAGGAATGCTAACTGTGGAGGGAGGCTGGACGCTGGGCAGTCTAAGCAGATGCGTGTGGAAGTGTGTTTGGCCAAAAGTCAAGATGTCTACAGCTCTGACATTGCTTTTCTTTTTTCACCTACATCTGGATAAATGACTATGACACAGTATTAACAATTGTTGAGTCTAGGTGGCAAATATATGTGTTCACTGGACAATTCTCTAATTTTGCTGTTGTAAAACTTTCACATTAAAATTCTGGGAAGAGACCTCTCTGGTGGTGCAAGTTAAAGTCTCAGCACTATCAAGCTAGCTGCAGTCACTGCAGCCTGAGTTCGACCCCCGGCAAGTGAGCTGACCCGCATGGCACAGCAGGCCTCCCCTCTCTGGCCCCCTGCTCCCCTCAGCAGTGTGTTTCGGTAGATCCACCTGTTCTGCTCCCCAATCTATCTCTGATGAATCCTCTCGCCCACCTCCAACACCTCTGGCTGACACCCCAGTTCTTGTATGCATAAATAAAATAAAAATAAATCTTTAAAAAAAGTAAAATTCGGGGGGGGGGTCCAGATAAGAAAACAGATCCTACTGCCTGAAAGGCCCCCATTGTGGATTTCACCCAAGCTTGAGGAGTGGGCACAGGGTACCTCCCTTTCCCCAGGGCACCTCCCTTTCCCTTTGGGGGAAATGGACACCCTTAAAGGGAGAGAGACACAAACATCTGAGGAGAACTCAGGAAGGAATCCTTACAGACAAAGACATGAGCGCCAGAGAAAAAGTCCCGTGTGGGTTCTGAAAGGGAGTAGGCAGGCCCCGGTCTAGAACTGTACTGGTAGCTAGTCCAGGCTTTGAGCAAAGTTCAATGGTGCCAGTTGCTCTACCCATCTGACAAGACAGTGCTGTCAAACAGGTGTTGGGCACACAGCATGTCATGTCACAGCGAATCTGGGAAGAGGAAAGATTCCCAGGAAGTGGGAGAGCTGACCAGCGCTGAGCCTAGCAGGGGAAAGGCGGGCGTGGACAGGGCAGAAGGTGTGTGCAGGCAGCTGAGCGGCAGGAAGCTCCCCAGCACCTCTCTCTGTCTGTGCTAGGAAAAAAGATTAGAAAGGAAGGAAACTTGAAGGAACTACAGGACTTTTGATCAATTTGATGATAAAAGCACTTCAGTGGCTTGAACGGTAACCCCTCCACCCCACCCCCACACACACCAAATGCGTCCACATCCTAAACCCTGGATCCTGGGTGTGTGACCTTATTTGGAAAAAGTGTCTTTGCAGAAATAATTAAGGAGCTTGAGATGAGATCATCCCAGATTATCTGGGTAGGTCCTAAAATCCACTGACAAGCATCCTTATAAGACAGCACAGGACGGGCACTGAAAGAGGAGGAAGAGGTGCAGAAATCCCAGTGATGTGGCCACTCGCCAGGGCACAGCTGGAACTCCCAGAAGCTGAAAGAGACCAGGGGTGGAGCGACCCTAACCCTCTAGGAGAGGGTGCGACCAAGATCTTGGTGTTAGACTTCTGGCCATCCTGCACTGTGAGAGGATGTGTTTCTATTGTTTTAAGCCACCCAGTTGGTGATCATCTGTCAAGGCATCCTAGGAAATGGACATAAGCACTATCACTGAGGAGTGTGGCATCGAAGGCGGGAGACCTCACTCTAAACGGACCCACATTCTACATGGCCGGCCCGGGGCCTGGGCTGCAGTCAGGCACCTGGTCCCGAAGCTCCCCACCACCGGAGAACCGTAGAGTGAGCTAATCTTTTAGCTAAAGTCTGGTGAGGAATAAAGCGCCCGCCACTCAATTGTCTGTATACATTTAAATCTGTCCCATATTGTACAGTTCAAATTCTAGTAAACTGATGTTAGTTGATATTCATAATTTTGCTGCCCCCCTCCCCCCTACCCCAAAGAAAAGGTATGGGGCTTGGTTTTGTCTTTTTTATTAAAAAACAGCAACAACCACCTTGTTTTTCTGGCAGCTATTTAAAGCTGTTTTCCATAATTACCATTAACTACTCAAATAACAGATATAGGGCCTGGCCTCACAGGCCCAGACCTTTGGGTGGTACAGACCCTGGATCTAGCCTGCCCTGTCCACACCTCATGCCAGTCTCCACACAGTGCCAGATTCCCCGCTACTGACGGACACAGCCTGGTCCTCAACCAGGGCCAGCCTGAAGAGGCTCCCAGCACCATTTCTTCTGCAGGCCCCACCCTGCTGCCCAGTCTCAGGAATGAGGCATCATCCTGCAGCCCCGAAGCCAATGCCCTTCCCTAACCCCCACAGCTGCTAACCTCTACTCACAGCCTTTCCCCGGAGCCTGGAGTCCAGCCCCAGCTCTAGGCAACAGGTCTGACCTCGATGGCACTAGCGTAAGCAGCACCATGCCCTATCTGCCAGCGCTCAAGTGAGATCAGGCACCGGACACTGTGACACTCTGCCCATCATCTGGACAGGGGAGGTCCTGCCCTGCCTGCTTGGGGCAGACCCGCTGGAGATCAGCTGCCCCTTCTCCCAGACCCCTTTTCCCACGGGCTGCCAAGTCTCTGCAGGCCTTGAAGCTGAGACTGAAAAGTCTGGACGGGCTGAGATCTCCATGCTGTGGAGAGGGAAAGGCGGGTAGAGTTTGTGAAGAGGATCGTAAAAGCAGGAGAACAAGCCTGCTACCTTCCTACCTTCAAAAAAGCCATCCTCGTCCATGTTGCCATAGATGTAGATGTACTCTCCGGCAGTGAGCGGAAGCTCTGCCTCTGGATTCTCATTGGGGCCCTCAAAAGGGTTGTAGCTGTTGGAGAAGCGCAGAGGAGGAGGACAGAGACTTATATCCCACCTCCCCGTCCGGTCTGCATTAGCCCTTATGGGGACCAGTTCTCCACTTACAGCCAAGTGGAGCTCTCACTGAGCCCACCCTGGACCAACTGGGTTAGGTGGTCACCTCTATGTGCCCCGCCCACCGTCTCCACCCATACGCCCCAAATACTGGCAGGGGCAGCCCGGGTAAGAGGCTCACCTATAGCGTGCTAGGAAGACCTGAATCCTGGCTCCTCCCTGGCTGCTCTCCAGAGCAGCGGGAAGCAGGGAGACACTGTCTGCCTCCAGTTCCTCCACCTCACTGGCTGTATCCACCTGGGGGCAAACAAAAGGGCCAGTTTCTCTCCAGGACCCAGGACCGATGGCAAAGTGGAAGGTTTCCGGGCTCTGCCGAAGGAGGACCTATCACTCCAAGCCAGTAAAGTGATCCCATGCCAGATGAGGCCCGGGTGTTTTCTAAATTGGCACCTAAGCCAGCAGGTCCTGGCAGAGCCCAGATGCCCTGGGTAGGGGAAGTGGGATAACCTGGGTCCCTCCCCCAGCTCTGGATTCTAATGTACCAGCCAGCAAATAAGACCACTTTCCCATCAGAAACGGCCCAATTCACTAGTGGAATGGGCGGCCAGGGTTGGTCTGTCTCCTCAAGGTAAAAATGCATCAAAGGGCATCACTTGGGGCGAGCTGGAGGCAAGGAGCCAGGAGAGGCTATGCCCCGTCCCACAAGGGGGCAGCACAAGTCTGGGGCGGGCTCTTGGGATGTTAAATGGGTGAGGCGATGCAGAGTTGACACCCAGAAACTTGGTAGCCATGATAGCTGCTGTAGTTGACCATCTACTGTCTGCCCCAGAGTAAGCAAAGCGCTTTCCTTGTGTTTTATCACATAATCTTCACAACAGCCTTATAAGGCAGCTTTCATCAGCTCCAAAATCCAAACAAGGAAACAAGCCCAGAAAGAGTGAGAGGCTGCCTAAGAGGTGGATTTGAATCCCGCTACCTGTGCTCTTTCTCACGCGACCATATGCTGCTGCCACAGATGCTCTCACGGCCTCATTATGTGGATACTGGCGCCAAAGTGTCTCCTTCCATCCAGCCCAGGACTCCAGGGCCTCTCTGGGCCCCAGAGGGGTGGGGCTGGGAGGCCCCAAGATGGGGCCTTCATCAGGAAGGTCCTGGAGAAGGCCCACAACAAAGAATCCACCCAACTCCTGGGAGACGCCCCTCGCCCAAGACAGCCAGAAGCCCTGGCCCCTCCCCATCACTGACCTCAGGCGTGGGGCATGACTTGGGGCTGTTGTGGATAGACTCTGAGCGGGAGGAGTTGGACAGAGACTCTGCTTTCTTGGCTGTCCTTCGAGGAACCCCGGCAAGGGTGGCTGGGGCAGACTCGGAAGATTTTGGGGTACAGCGACCCGGGGAGCCGGGCGGGAGGTCAAAGTCTAGAGAGAAGATAATATGGGAGTGTGGAATCTGTGGCCTGAAAAGGGGCCAGGGACCAAGGGTCCTTTTGGGGTAGGGGGTCAGGCCCTCCATAGCTGGTTTTCCTTGCAAAAAGGGAACTATTGGGAGGGAGACCTACTAAATCAAGGTAGAAGTGATTCACATACATTGTTTGACAGCACCAGGAGAGCAACATGATGAGGTGTGTTGAGTTACTCCTCTTATAGCTTAGGAAGCCATGCCAGAGACTACACAGCGTGCCCAAGTCACAGGACTGCTATGTGAGTGGGGCTGGCAATGCCAGATCTGACCAATGCCCATTCCCAGCTCGTCAAAGACCCACATGGCCTGCTATGGACTCCCAGTCCCCAACTCCCAGCCGCGACCACAGAGTTCTGTTGGAGGAGCAGCAACAGCCAGAGGCGGCCTAGGCCAGACTCCAGAACGACCACTCCCATGAGTTTACTTTGTTCCCACAGGAGACTGCTTCTAGCCAGGCCTGGCTCTCATTTACTGTGTGACTTCAGGTGAGTTGCTAGGCTTCTCTGACCCTGAACTCTCTGCTCTGTACCAAAGTCCCAGCCTTTAGGATTTCAGGCTAACATCACTAGGGTCCATCTTACCTTTGGGGCCAGATCCCCGGCAGGGCTGGGGAGTAGAGCAGCAACAGGGGGGTGGTGGGCGATCCCCAAGATTACTACAGCCCAGGGCAGCGGTGAGCAGATCCAAGGGCCCCGGATGCAGGCGAAAGGCCTGGAGCTCCTGCGCCAGGAGGCTGAAACGCTCCGTTTGGCTGCGGCATTGCTCTTCAAGTTCTCGAACCCGCACCTAGAACAAGACCCCCGTGAGCCACCGGGCCCAGCAAAGCTGACAGCCTAGCCTGTGCCATCTACACACAGCGCCACACTGGGCTTCACTCCCACGCGCCCAGCCCACAGGCCTGGACACCAGCGCCGGGCCTGGCTGCCCGTTTGTCCTGCACAGGATCTGAGCTGAAGCTGAAGTTCTGCAGCTGTAGAGGCTCCCAGCCCTCCTCTGGAGAAGGGCCAGGCCCTGCCTCACACAGCACACCTTCAGCAAGCCCAGACAGTGGCTCTTCCTACTTCTGGTTGCTTTCTAGGCCAAAAGGAATGGCTCCCACCCCCATACCAGGGTCACCTCAGGAGTCTTCTCAGCTGCACTGCTTGTCCCCCGCCCACAGACAGGCCTCCGGAGAAGACCCCAGAGAGAGCCCACACAGAAACTCAGGACATCTTTGTGACAGGAACAGGCCAATACCCAAGAACCTTTCAGGAGAGTCTGCACTGTGTGGGGCTTGCCCCAGGCCAACTCCAAGAGCACTGTGAGTGAGTGCTGACGAATTTCCCTGAGGTCCAAGTGGCTTGGTTTAGAGGAGGACGGCCAGGCATCCGCCAGGCACAGCCGCAGGTCTGCGGCGTGGGCACGCCCATCCGTCCCACAGGACTCCCGGCCCACAGAGCTCTGCACCGGCCACACCCCCTCTGTTGGACCCCCTCTGTGTGAGAACCACCTGGACCTCTGTAGCCTGGAGGGGAAGGGACACCCGAGGAAGTGAGGGAGGAAGCTGTACCTGCATGGAATCCAGGGTGGACTGCGGCAGGAAAGGAAAGCAGAGGAGTTAGACAGCTTAGCCCTGTGGGTCACACTTGGAGAGGGCAGGAGAGAGACCCAGGTGGACCCACCAGTGGGCTCCCCAGCAGGCCCTAAATGGACGGGTATTACGGGGAAGGTAGCCTCGGGGTGGGTGGCCCTGGGGGACTGCTGCCTCTGGACCCTGCGCCCCTGGGCCCTGTCCTGAGAAATGGGCCATGGATGGAGGGGACTGTCCAGGCCTGGGGCACCAAAGGACTCCTCCTGAACCCCACACCCCGCCCTCACCACCCAACCCAGCTTTCTCTGAGGTTTCCCTACAGGGGAGCCGGGACCACCTGCAGGGACCCTACCTCCAGCAGCTGCACAGCCCCTTCATGTTCCCTCTTGGCTTCTGCCTGGGCCTACAGGTGGGAGGAGGCAACGTGCTAAAGGGGAAGAGGAGCAGCAGGGAGGGGTAGAGGGAGCTGGAAAGGAAGGAGGGTAGGAAGGGCCAAAGGTGGGGGAGGGAGAGGAGCCAGGAAGAGGGGGGTGCTGCAAAGAAGGTGGCTCCCACCTTGACACCTTAGGCCACCCTCCTGGGCTCCCCGCCCACCTTTCCAGACATTCTTTCTCAGCCTTTCTGGCCTGCTGCCTGTCTTCTGTGCCTTCTGAATGTCAGGGTGCCACGGGACACACACTGGACCCACTTTATACTGTATACTGCCTCCCAAAGTGGGAGGGGGTTCCCCATCTAGTCACATAGCTGACCACACTGATAACTTTAAAATACACCTCTCAACACCAGGCCCCAAGACTCCAGAGACTCCAGACTCATAGCCAATGTGCTAGGGACATCTCCTGGGTTAGCACACACCCCACACTAGCAAAACAGACCTCGGGACCTCCTACTTCTCCAAGCTGTTGCCCCTTCAGCCCTCACTTCCTGGGCAGTGAATAGCCCACTTTCCACCATGGGTTCCACAGCACATGGGAGACAGAGCCAGGACACAACTTGAATCCTGCAGTGAGTCTCATCAATTCTACCCCTAAAACACATCTGTCCTGTTTCCCCTCCATTGCCATCACCCTAGTCCAGATGGTCAGCGCCACCCACCCAATAGCGCAAGTGCTCCCCACCCCCTCACCCTATTGCCCTACTTCCATACCCCAACCGACCCCCCACAGTGCTGCCACAGGCTTTTCTCCAATGACAATCAGGCCAAGTTACTCCCCTGCTTAGGAGAGAAAAATAGCCAAACTCTGCCAGCCTTAAAGGCCTGTGGCGCTTGGGCGGACACCGGCCTGCTGTTCTGTGCATCCTGCTATATCTGTCCACACTGGGGCCCGCAGCTCTTCCCACACACTGCAGTGACTCAAGTTCTCCTCCCCTGGGGTGTTGGGTCCTTGCTCCCCGGGTATTATAGACCATCCTGACCTCTCCAGAGGCGACCTTCACCCCTTCCCAGTCACTCTGTCACATCATCCTGTTCACTTCTTCCTGTCCCCACCCCCAAACCCCACCCCGGGCTTGTCAGAGTCTGGCTGCATCTCACTCTTGAATTTGCTGATTTACTGATGGGATCTAAATGGAGGCCCCCCGACCACCATTCTCCTCCAGTGCCTGGCACAGAGCCTGGTATACCTGGTGCTCTGCAAATGTCCACCAGACCAAGCCGAGTCCAGCAGCCTACACCCTTCTTTTATCCTGCCTCCTGGACGCGGCCCCTACCTGCTGCAGTCTCCGGACCTCCTCCTGCTTCTCCTGCAGGCTGAGCCGAGCCTGCTCATGTTCCACCTCCAGCTGCTGCCGCCGCTGCGCCACCTCCCGCATGTGCTGAAATACAAGAGTCCCGGTCCAGGCCTGAGCCCCACGCTGTCCTAAGGAAGATCTAAAATGAAGAGCCTCAGCCACACATGTCCCAGATGCACTTTATTAAAAAGGAAACAGGCCCTCCCTGGTGGCTCAGCAGGTTAAAGCGCAGCACTAAGAAGCTAAAGCCACTTCCACAAGAGTTCCATCCCCGCCTGCCCCGGAGGTGACCACATGGCGCGGCAGACCTCTCCTGGCCGGCCCACTGCTCCCCTCAGCAGTGTACTTCGTCAGTTGGCCTGTTCTGCTCCCCACTGTCTCTGGTGAATCCTCTCACCGCCCCTGCACCTCTGCCCTGTACCTCAGTTCTGTGCATAAATAAATAAACCTTTAAAAGAAAAGGAAACCAAGGCCAGAGAGGGAAGGGGCCAGCAGCCCCAGGACCGGGCCTGAGACCCCAGTGCCCCAGAAAGCGTTACTCTATGCCTCATGCACCCAGCCCACACCAATGCCCTCCCCTCGCCTCCAGTCCCCTCACCTTTAGCACCTGCTCCAGGCTCTCCAGCTTGCTCTGCAGGCCCTGGCTCTTGCGAAGGGCTGAGTCCCTCTCTTGTGTCACCCCCAGAAGCTGGTCCCTCAGTTCTGTGTTCTCCCACTCCACCTGAGAAGGGGGTGTAGCAGGGAGCTGGGTGTATGAGTCCTTTCCCATCAGCTCCCCCACAGGGAGGAACAGTACCCTTTATATTCTAGCCCAGTTTGCGGGTGCTGAAGGAGACAGCCTAGGCCTCCATGGCTCCTGGACAGAGGGGTTACCTGTTCCTTCTCCGTGGCTCTCCCACTGAGCCGGGAGTTCTCCTCCACAAGGCGGGCATTCTCATTCTGGGCCTCTTTCAGCTGCAGTTCCTGGGAAACCAGAATGCTCTGGAAAGGAGGCCCAGCACCCACATTCTTCCTCTCCCCAAGCTCCCGAAAGGCTTTCCTCCCCAACATGAAACTGGCACTAGCCAGGAAAAGGGAAGTCTGCAGAATAGGAGGCAAAGTGTATTCTTGGGGTGGGAGCTGAGAGGGAGCCCCAGGGGCTGGCCTGGAAAAGGAGGTCCAGGAAAGCTCACCAGCTCATCACATCGCCTCTGCTTTTTCCGGGCTTCCAGTTCCAGACTCTCACATTTCTTCCTCTTCTTGCTGAGTTCTGACTCCTGCAGGGTCAGAACCGAGGACTTCTCATGTGGGAAGGCATGTCTGCCCACTCAGGTCTCCTCCAGCCCTTGACCTGGAACTTACCAGCTGTTGTACCCTCTGCTGGCTCTCTGGCTCCCCTAGGACCACCGGTGGGTTTTCCACATCCTCTTGGGGCGTGGCCTGGAGATGCCCAGGGGCAAGGGGCTGGTACCTGAGAATAGGGCCACAGGGCAGCCTGCCCCAGCCCAGCCTGTCCATCCATGAGAGGTCCCCACCCCATCTCAGTCAGCAAAAAGAACCCAGTTCCCCAGTTCACCAAGAGGGAGCTGGGGTGGGAAAGGGTCCTGCCCTGCCCCCCCCCCAACATCTCCATTAACGTGCAAGTGCAGAGCTTACACTGCTATGTCCTTCAGTCCTAGTGCTTAGAGACCCAGAGGCCCCAGCACACCCAGGGACATGGGTCCCTTATCCAGGCCAAAGCTTTCCCTTTTTAGATTCCAGCAGCAGCCCAGCTCTGCACTCAATAACTGTCCTGTGTGTCCTTCAGTGACTGGCGGAGAAGTAGGAGGCTGCCTGGGCCCCCAGGGATGAGGTGCTCCCAAAGTTGGGGGTTCTGGATCATCCAGAACCTAGAGCAGTGGCTTAGGGCTGTGCAAACCTGGCCAGATCCTCCTTCTTGCTCCCCACTTGTCCTTGGCACCTTCCCCTTGTCCTGCAAGCTGCCAGGGAGGGCAGGTTTTGAGGGAGGTCTCCCTCCCTGGGCCTGGCAGAGAGGCAAAACCTGCGGGAGAAGCACCCCCACCCTGAGGTCTCAGTGGCTATGTAGACGGTCTCCCACCTTTCTTCACAGGAGGTGAACCTAGGGTCAGGCCAGTAGAGGGGAGAAGAACCCGACCTTTAAGTTCTGAGGATCAGGAGTGGGTCTCTAGCCCTTGGCCCAGGGGCTGCCTGAGCCCAGCGCCCAGTGCAGGTCACTCATACCTGAAGCCGGGGGCGGGCACGACGCAGCCAGGGATAGCGGGAGGACCAGGCGCTGAAGGGGGTGTCCCCGCGCTAAGGCGGCGGCGGCGGAGGCGGCGGCTGGGCTGGGCCCCGGGCGGCTGCCAGGGTAACCAGGGATTTGCAGCCGGGCGGGCCGTACCACTGACTCCGCAGCAGGGGCGGCAAGGAGGGCCCAGCGGGGTGCAGGCCTCCGAGCGAGCGGAGGACCCCAAGCCGGCCCGAGGGCGGTTACCAGGGTGGTGTGGCCGCAGACTGGACTGGAAGGCGAGCCCCGCCTCCGCCTCCGGGCTGGAAAACGGTCCCCAGCTCTCGGAATGCATAGTCCGCCATCCGTTCTTCGGGACTTAGAGCTTGGTGCAGGAAGACCCCAGACCCACTCCTTATCTCCCACCTACACACACGTACACCCCTGCCCCGGCGCCAGAGCTCACCTCTCCCGGGGCCCCGGGGGCGGGCACCTCTGCCCTGGCCTGGGCAGCGGGCCCCGGGGGCCTGTGTGGCGGGGGTGGCTCCTGCTGGTTGCGCAGGGCGATCTGCCTCTGCAGCCGCAGTACCTCCCGCTGGGACTCGCGTAGCAAGCGGTCGAAGTCCCGCACGTGGAGCCACTGCGGGCCCTCCTAGGGTGGGCGGGCAGGGAGGGGAATCAGGTCCAACCCAGTCCAGCCCACGCTATCCCAGCAGAGCCCGCGTCTGCCTCGCTGTAGAGGCTACCTCGCACGGAGACGTGCACATCCTCCCATGCACACATGCCTGCTCATTTGTGCATGCGTGTACAGCATGCACATGCTGCTAGCCGAGGGACGACATTCGCGGTAACGCGTTTACTGGGCGCTCACAGCGTGCCCAGCACTGTGCTAAACGCCTCGTGAACATCGCTCCTCCCACAAACGTAAGGTATGTGTGGATTCATACACATACCCACTGGCAGTCTGAAGCCAGGCACAGAGAAATCCCCAGGGCTGGGACTCATGGCTCCACCCACTTCAGTGCCGGCTGCCTCTCCCCGCTCCCACCTGGGCCGTTGCCAGGGGAACCTACTACCCAGCAGCCTCCACCTTCCAGTTCATTTGCATCTCATTAACATCTCCTTCACATCCCAGACACCGTGCTGGCAGCCTTGCCTAGGGATGAGTTGGAAAGGGGGGACCAGGGCCTCATCGCACCTTGCCGACCAGGGTGAGCCTGGCTTGCAGCTCCCTGCACTCCCGCTGCAAGGCGGCAATCTGCTTGTCCTTGGCCAGCAGGGCGCTGGCGGTCTCGCTGAGGTCCCTGGCTCTCTGGCGGGCCAGAGCCTTCCTGCACAACTCCAGACTGGCCCCAGGACGGGGCACTGGGGCACTCACCTGACCAGAGGAGGGGTAAGGATGGTCACCTGAGAGCTAGGGCACTTCTCCCACTGCTCAGCTCCTTCCAAAGGAGGGTTAGGGTGAAAAGCTACAGTTAGGGCCTCCTGCTTCCACCTTGTCTGGATCCTCAGGGAATGGGCAGCCTGACTTGACCCCGCTGAAAGGGTTAACTCCACGTCCTCGTCTAGCTCCCAAGGGTGCTGCTACAGGAGGAGGGCTGCCACGGGCGGGTCTTCATCCCTGTCCCCATGGGCTCTGCACCCAGAGGTGAGCTCAGCAGGAGGCTTCAGCCAGCACTAGCACATGGTCATCCAGAATCCTGCTCCCTGACTGCTCAGAAACTCCCAGCCCAGACCTCCCTCCCTCCTATAATTCCAGAAAATTTCAGCCTCCTTTCCTGACCAGCATTTGCTCTTCCTGCAACTTGGCACCTGGTTTCCTGCTTTCTGGGAGCTAAAGCATTCATGACCCCCAAGCCCCAGCCCCACGGCCCAGCCTTGCCTTCCTCCCCCCCCCACCTCCCCGCCCCCAATTATCCAGTAGCCCCCATTCCTCACCACCCTCAGGTTAGTCTCTTGCAACTTCCGGGCCCTCTCCTCCAGGCGCTTGGCAATGACCGCCAACTCTGCATTCTTCCGCTTCAGTCTCCGCACCTTTTCTTCTGTCTCTGGGAAACTGCTCTTCCTCTGACAAGGGGTTAGCCAGGATAGGGACATGTGGGGACACTCCCGACAGACCCAGTCCTAACTTAGGCTGGGTTCCTGGGCTCACAGTGGGGCCCTCAACAACTCTAGAGAGGGGTTTGGCTTTCTGGGGCTGGGAATCGTGGTACCTCACATAGCCATCAGCTGGAGGGTTATTCGTGGAATGAGAAGAATCCCAGCTAAGGCAAAGGACCTGAGTATTTGAGTCTGCTTTCTCCCAGCTCCAACCCGGACCCAGGTCATGTCTCCAAGCTCACCAGCATCTGGTTTTCCTCCTTAAGGATGGCACAGCGCTGCTGCAATTCCCCCAGGGCCCTCAGCAGCTCCAGATTGGGTCCATCCCCAAAGCCCCTGTCCAGCGTGGCCTGCATGGGAAAGGGCAGGACAACAGTACCTCAGGCCCCTACCCCACTTAGTCAGAACCCTCCGTAGGGAAGCATCCCCTCTCCACACTCCAAAGAGATGTGGAAGTGAGCAGGCTCTCCCCATGCCCTAGGCAGAAAAAGGGAGGCCTGGAAGGGGAAAATTTAGTCCTCTCTGCCCACCCGCACAGACACCCCCCTGCCCAACCTGGGGTCCTCTCTGCCAGTCCCTGACTCTTCCCATCCCTTCCCACCTTCCCTCCTAGAAAATGCCAGTGGAAGCTCCCATCATCACCCCTCCAAACTCCTCCAGCCCGGAGCTCCCTTCCCTCCCCCAAGGCCTTGGTCCCTCCATCTTTTACAGGAGCCTGTTCACACCCACCCCAAGCCTCGTCTCTGTGCCTCAGCCTGGCATTGAGACCCCTCCTCTGAATCTGCTTCCTGTGGACTGAGATTCCACCATACATCTCCACATGTCCCCAGTATCCTCCAGCCCCCAAGGACAGGGGCTCTGGGAAAAGGAGAACAGAAGATGTCAGAGTGACTCACAGAGGGAGGGGACGGGGCAGAGCCAGATGTAGACAGAGAGGCAGAGCCAGAAGGACAGACAAATTGACAAAAACTGTGATTCCTGCCCAAAGAGGGGAGGACACTCACAGAGAATAAACCATGGAGACAGCCCAGGACAGAAAAAGAGCGGGTAGCAGGGTTGCATAGGGCACCAAAGCTGCAGGGCAGTGTGGGGGGAGCCCCCCACCCCTTGCTGGCCCCAGTCCTCCACCTCCTACCTTGGGAGAAACCTCTACCACCTCTTCCTCCAGACTCAGGCAGTCAGGTCCGGAACTTGCTGCTTCCTGCCCCAAACTGGGCAGCCCGGTTTTTGTTCCTTCGGGATCAGTGACCCTCACAGGTCCAGGGCTCCCAGCTCCCTTGGGCTCAGGGCTCTCCTCAAGCTTCAGTTCTCCAACCTGCAGAACTGCCGGAATATCAGCAATTCTTGGGGCTGCGCCGGCAGG